GCCGCGCGTCGAGAGCGGAAATAGCCGCCGTATTTGCGCTCCAGCATCTCCACCTGCGGGCACGTGGGGACACCGTGGGGACACGGGGACATGGGGACATGGGGTCATGGATGGGGACATGGGGATGTGGGCAGTTGGGGATTGGGATGTGGATGGGGACATGGGGACATGGGGATGTGGGGACATGGATGGGGACATGGGGATGTGGGGATTGGGACATGGATGGGAACGAGGACATGGGGATGGGCACATGGGGATGTAAGGATTGGGATGTGGATGGGGACGTGGGAACATGGATGGGGACATGGATGGGGACATGGGGATGGGGGCAGGTGGTGTTGGGATGTGGATGGGGAGATGGGGATGTGGGGACATGGAGGTATGGAGACATGGATGAGGATGGGGACATGGGGATAGGGGGATTGGGATGTGGATGGGGACGAGGACGTGGGGATGTAGGGACGTAGAGATATGGAGACATGGATGAGGATGGGGACATGGGGACATGGATGGACACATGGGGATGTTGGGATTGGGATGTCGATGGGGGCGGGGACATGGGTGGGCACACGGGGATGCGGGGACATGAGTGGGGACATGGGGATATGGATGGAGACATGGGGACATGGGAATATGGGGACATGGATGAGGATGGGGGCATGGGTGGGGACATGGATGGGGACATGGATGGGGACACAGATGGAGACGTGGGGATGGTGGGATTGGGACATGGATGAAGATGACGTCATTGGTGGGGACATGGGGATGTGGGGATTGGGACATGGATGGGGAGGAGGACAAGGGGGGACTGTCACATGTGGCTGATGACCATCACATCTGGGTTGTGACCGTCACACGTGGGTTGTGACCATCACACGTGGGTTGTAACCGTCACATGTGGCCGATGACCATCACATGTGGCTGATGACCATCACATCTGGGTTGTGACCGTCACACGTGGGTTGTGACCATCACACGTGGGTTGTAACCGTCACATGTGGGTTGTGACCATCACATGCGGATTGTGACCGTCACATGTGGCCGATGACCATCACACATGATCTGTGACCATCTCGCATGGTCGGGGCCCAGCCCATGGATGTCCCCAGGTGTCCCCAAGTACCTTCTTGTCCTGCAGGTCAGTGGAGAGCTCGTAGCTGTCACTCAGAGCCTTCGGCCTCTTGCTCTCCTCCTCNGTAGCGCCGGAACGCCGCCTGGATCGTCCGYGCCGCGCGTCGAGAGCGGAAATAGCCGCCGTATTTGCGCTCCAGCATCTCCACCTGCGGGCACGCGGGGACACCGTGGGGACACGGGGACATGGGGATGGGGGCAGGTGGGGATTGGGATGTGGATGGAGACATGGGGACATGGGGACATGGATGGGCACATGGGGATGTGGGGACATGGATGGGGACATGGGTGGGGACATGGGGATGTGGGAATTAGGATATGGATGGGAACGAGGACATGGGGATGGGCACATGGGGATGTAAGGATTAGGATGTGGATGGGGACATGGGGACATGGATGGAGACATGGATGGGGCCATGGGGATGTGGGAACATGGATGGGGACATGGGGATGTGGGAACATGGATGGGGACATGGGGATGTGGGGACATGGATGGGGACATGGGGATGTGGGGATTGGGACATGGGGACATGGATGGAGACATGGGTGAAGACATGGGGATGTTGGGATCAGGACATGGATGGAGATGACATCATTACGGGGAACATGGGGATGTGGGGATGTGAGGATCGGAATGTGGATGGGGATGATGACATGGGGACATGGGGTTATGGAGACATGGATGAGGATGGGGACATGGGAACGTGGGGACACAGATGGGGACATGGAGACAAGGACGTGGATGGTCACGTCCACACGGGGATGTGGGGATTGGGACATGGATGGGGATGTGGGGACATGAGGATACAGAGACGTGGATGAAGATGAGGTCATTGTTGGGGACACAGGAATGGAGATATGGGGACACGGATGGGGATGTGGATGGGGATATGGATGGGGACGTGGGGATGTGGCGACAGGGATTGGGGACAGATGCGGGTGGGGCGTGAGGATGAGGACATGGATGGAAACGTGAAGATGTGGACAGGGATGCGGAAGAGGACATAGGGACAAGGGTGGGACACGGATGGGGACATTGATGGGGACACGGATGGGGATATGGGAATGGGGACATGGATGGGGACATGGGGATGTGGATGAAGACGCAGGGATAGGGATGGGGACAAGAACAGGGATGGGAACATCAAAACATGGGCAAGGACAGGTGGCGATAGGGACAGAGAGGGGACAGGGCAAGAGAAGGACACAGGTGAGGCAACACCCAGGGACAGAGGGTGACAGCAGGGACAGGGGA